CTTTTTCTCCACGCTTTTCCATGTTATATATAATTTCTTTAGGCATAGGAGGGGCCATTAGTTCCGCGGTGAAGGGATGAACTGCACAGGATAAAGGTCTTTAATGACTGGGTTTTTTTGGTTTTGATTGGAAATTGAGTTATGATTTTCGAAGCAAGATGGAGTACATGGCTGCGAGATTGTCTATTATTAATGCGGGATGGAGTATGAACTTCTTTATCCCGCACATGTTGCTCGAGGAATGATTCTCCACCATTTCTTCTGAACGGTTGGGGTCCATGAGTATGAACCGATTGCTCTCATTCTCTCCAACAAGTTCTATTATAGAACGACGATAGACAAAGGCTTGTTGTTGACGTTGCCATAATTTCGTCAACTCTGTTCCTGATGCTCCATTTGTTGGTTTTGTTGATGTTCTTGAAAACGTGAGACTGAATCCTATCATGTTAAAAATTTAAAGAGTAAATATCCTATTTGATCCCTAACAAGAAATATGGTCCCCACTTTAGTCCCTTATAAAAATAAATAAATTAGTCAGTTAGTCTCTAACAAATTCAAGGTAGACCCATTTTAGTCCTTTTGAGGGACTAAAATGGGTCTTTTTTAATTTGTGAGGGACCACGATTTCAACTAAATGGGTCCACTTTGAATTTGTTAGAGACTAATTAACTAATTTATTTTTGTAAGGGACTAAAGTGGGGACCGTGTTTTTTGTTAAAGACTAAAAAAGATATTTACTCAAATTTAAATGATTTAGTTATATGAAATTTTCGTGTTTATCTTTTTTTTCATATAATGTGAGGTCCAATTATCGTTGATAAAGAAAGAGATAAATACAAAAATTTTACGGAAACAGATATAATATGAGTAGATCCGTTCTCTGACCATGTACTCTAAAGAAATGGGGGTACAGATTGCTAGGCCTCTTCAGCTTTGAGTAACTGGTTCTGAGCTCTGACCACGTGGGCTTCTAATAATCAATAGGCCTGGATATAGTTCCGGATCATAGCATATTCATTTATAAAAAAAATTAGTTTTATGCATTCTACTCTAATTTTAAAAAAATTAGGCATTTTAATTTTTAAGTACTTGGCAAATAATAATTCTCCTTATTAATTGTTTTTCTTTCTATTAATTTAAAAACTATTCGCAATAAAGTTACAATGATAAAATTATTTTCAGTGAGCTCAAAATTACATCGTTTTGAGATTGTAAGTTTAAAAAATTACAATAATAAAGACTAATATACCCTTGCAATAAATTAGAATTACAAAAATATATTGATTTCCGTCCCAAAACAACATCTTTTTTAGCTCACTGAAGATAATTTACATCCATTGACATGAGAAATCCTTTATCATATATATATATATATATATATATATATAGAGAGAGAGAGAGAGAGAGGCGGACTTACGGTGTTGCATGTGTCTGCACATGCAGTCACAAACATTTAAGAATTTTTTTTTTAAAGGAGTGGGTGATTTAGGTAATGTAAAAAAAAAAAAAGTAGGAAGATTGAAAAGAAAAAAGTAAACATAGGCCCAACTATAGTAGTTAAAATTGGGATCTTACCTAAAATCAAAAGGAGGATAAAAAATCATAAAACGTAAAATTCTAACGTAAAAAAAATCGTAAAAGTGTTTGAAATTTTGATGAAATCGTTTTGATTAAAAAAATCGTAAAATCACAGATTTAAATCTGGATTTTAACTAACATGGGCTCAACCCAACCAACTCCTATAATTAAAAGCTTAAAGCTTAAGTGTGCACACATAAGCAAAATTTTCTGAGTCCGCTACTGTATATATATATATATATATATATATATATATATATATATAGGGAGGGATCTTTTGACTCTAAAGTAAGACTTACAAGTCTTACTCCTCATCTCAACCATTGATTTCCGTCCATCTAATGATTATTATTTATTTAAAATTAATAATTAATTAATTGGTGTAGATAACCGTTAGATGGACGGAAATCAATGGTTGAGATGAGGAGTAAGACTTGTAAATGTTACTCTAGAGTCAAAAGATCTCTCCCCTATATATATATATATATATATATATATATATATATATATATATGAAGAGTTATATTTACAAATTTTTTGTTTACAGACTACACTATGTTCTCCGGGAAGAACACTAAGTTACATTATGTTCTCCCAGAAGTACTTAGTGTAATTTAAAAAAATTTGTAAACGGAACATTCCCCATATATATATATATATATATATATATAACTTGTTATCTTAAGATGAAAATTTTTTGTAAAGAAAAAAAAAACTTTAATATATAATTATGTACTCTTTGAAATACATAGTTATAATACCACCATCTTTCATAAGAATATTATGATATACCACCCCTAAAGCTAGCTCAAAAAATGAGAGTGCCCAGAGCCTAATCAACCCCATATTAGTTTATTCCTTCCTTTACTCTCTTCTTATCCTCGAAAAAATCTACAATGCTATGGTAGTACCTATGACGGACCAATAGGAATAGGACAACTAGGCTGAAAAATTTTTGAAAAAAAAAACCTTTAATATATAACTTTGTACTCCCTGAAATACATAAATATACCTAAATACATAGTTATAATACTACCATCTTTGATAAGAACTTTAGGATACACTACCCTAAATGTTAGTTCAAAGGGTGTGAGTGTCAATGCCTTATAAAGGCCACATTAGTTGCCCATACAACCAATGTGACACTTCAAATCTCATACCTTGTGTTATGGATATGAATAGCATATCCCAACTACTTACCTAAGAATCTATTAAGAGATAGATTCATGAGTATCTTAGCAACATTAAACAGTCAAAATACACAAGATAAGGGTCACATCCCAACAGAAAGGGAGCTGAACCCTAATGCAACCTGGGAAGCTCAAAAGGCCCAAACCTGAGAAGGTAATCCTTATAAATAAGAGCCTAAGGACCCCAGGTACACACTTTTTAACCTATTTACTAATACTGCCACACTGTGCACACACCCACCCCTTAGCTATAAGCTTATTGCTTGTGCGCAGTGATTGAGACCTCGGCTATAAGCCTAGTATACGTCTGATTATACACTATCTCTGAGCGCATATCTTACGGTATAACAATATGGTCTATCCAGGACCGAACACCTTGCAAATTGAATCTTAACATTCCACCACGCTCTGCAGCCCTGGTGCCCACCCGTGCCGCTTGATTGCAACCAGTAGACATAGTTGAAGGTTTTAATATCATTTGATAAGAAATTTAAAATACATCATCCCAAAAACTAACTCAAAGGTAAATGTGCCAAAGACCTTATAAATTTCACATTAATTATCCATATAATCAAAGTGAAACTTCAAATATCATACCTTACAAATGAAATCGTAACACATCGCACCCAATACTTAATGAAACGGTGGTACTGAAAAATACGCTCCTATACTCCTTAATTGATCGTTACGTTTCATCCAAATGCCGCCTATGAAAAAATCTGGCCGCTATACGTCATTATCGTCAAACCTAAAGGTATATAATAATTGCTATATCATGATTTATATTGCGAACTTAATGCTTTCCCTGGATTTGTACCTAATATTGTTCCGGACGTTCAGGTCCACTGAATCTCAGTGTATTGATTCTTAACTGTGTTGTTGGCTGGTATCATGATTATTATCGCGAACTTAGTGCTTCCCCTGAATTTGTACCTAATATTGTTCCAGACTTTCCGTTCCAGTGAATCTGAATGCATTGACTCCCCAAATATTTTGGTGGCTGGACATGCCAGCCATCTTTTTCGACCAAAAAAAGATAAAGAAAATTAATAAAGATGTTGTTCACATGGAAAATTTCTTGCATGTTTCTGGAGACCTCTAAGTACTACGGTTTATAATGCATAACACTATACTATACACTTGGTAAAGTTAAGTAAGCTTTTTTTAAACGTGTTAGAGTAGGACGGAGTATAATATATGAGCTCAGTTTTGTGTTTGATGCATTTTTTAAATAGATTAGAACTTAACATGGGTTTAAAAAATGATCAGCTTGACTCCACCAAATAAGGTATAACCAACGAGAACAGAACTAATCTTCCCTATCTAAGCCATGAAAAATAGGAAGCAGATAAATAACTTTGGAACCTAATCTGATGTTATAGCTACAATTGTTTACGTAAACTCAGAGGCAGACTGAGGGAGGAGTGAGTATTGACAGCTGTCCATATTTAAAATTAATTTTTTTTATTATTTCATCTCTAATAAATATTTATAATAATTAATATTTTCTACTAGTCTTAATAATAATTATAATTTTAAAATTTTATATACCTTTCGTATTATAAAAAATCTTGGGTCCGCCATGACGTGAATTATATTATTTGTAGGGATGTGCATGGATCGAACCGAATTGGTTTAAATTGTTCGGTTCGGTTCAAAACTTATTCAGTTCGCAAGTAATTCAGTTCGGTTGGAAACGGTACGGTTCGGTTCAAAATCGGTTCGGGTCGATCCTCTTTTGAAAAGAAAAACAATTAAAAATTTAAAAAGTAAAGTTATAAAAATCGTTTTGGTTCGATTTGAAAACGGTTCGGTTCAGAAATGGTTCGGTTCGGTTCAAAATGGTTCGGTTCTTAAACTGATTCGGTTCATGAACTGATTTTTAAAAATCGGTTATTTTAAGAGCGGTTCGGTTCGGTTTTTTGGTTATTTTACACACCCTTAATTATTTGTATGTTTTCTTTTTATAATTATTATTATTAAATACATCGGTTATATTGAAATAATTTGTGTACATGATTTTTTAAAGCCTTTTGTTAATTTATACATACGTGTTTGGAATAAAAAACAAAAATAATGTCAGAAAAGAAGTGGTACAAATAAAAATAAAAAACCTGGTATTTTAATTAGTTCTAAGACAGAAATAGTGTGTATAAAGCGGCATCATTTCCCCAAGTACACCATAGTCAAGCTTAGCAGCTAACACCATTTTCCTTCGAAAGTCCAGTTAAGAGAAAATGGCAACGAAAGCTGAGATTGTATCTAAGGACACCATTAAGCCATCCTCTCCAACCCCAAATCATCTTAGAGACTTCAAAATCTCCCTTCTTGATCAATTGGCTCCTCCAATTTACGTTCCTGTTGTCCTGTTTTACTCTGCCTCTGATGTTACTACTTTCGGAAATGATATCAGAATGATATCTGACAAGTTAAAGTCTTCTTTATCAGATATCCTTACTCTCTATTACCCATTTTGTGGAACATTGAAAGGAAATTCATTGGTTGATTGCAACGATGTTGGTGTCCTTTACGTTGAGTCTAAAGTCCCAACTAAACTCTCAAATATTCTCAAAAATCCCCAAGTTCATGAGATAATTGAACTTTTTCCATTTGATCCCTACAACCCTTTAATATTATTAGATGATCATAGCAAGAAACCTGCTAGTAACATGGCAGTTCAAGTGAATGAATTCAGTTGTGGGGGGATAGGAATTGGTGTGTGCTTCTCACACAAGATTGCTGATGGTTCAACAGCTGCATCATTCCTCAATGCTTGGGCTGCAACATCAAGGGGACAACATGGAAACAACATATTGGAACAACCTCAAATTGAATCAGCCTCCTTGCTTTTCCCACCAAGGAACATAAACATGGACATAACTCGTGGCATGACTGGCCACAAAAACATTGTAACGAGGAGGTTCATATTTAATGACACAAACTTATCTAGACTGAGAGAAAAACTTGGCTGCTTCAATCCCACCCGTGTAGAAGCCGTGACAGCACTCATATGGAAATCAGCAACGGAAGCAGCAAGAGCAAGTTCATCTATGGTGTCTCATGCAGTGAACATTCGCAGTCGAATGGCCTCACCATTGTCGAAGAATTTGTTAGGAAATCTTTGGCAACAAGCTGCTTCACCAGTTATGGAAATGGAAAGGGTGAAAGGGTTGCATGATTTGGCAGAGATAGTAAGAAAAACGATAAGAAAAGTTGATGCAGATTATGTAAGTAAGCTTCAAGGTCATGAGTTACCTAAGGTTATTGAATCTTTACATGAAGCAAGGATAATGGTGTCCGAAAAAGGTATTTCATGTTATAGTTTTAGCAGTTGGATAAGATTTGATTTTTATGAAGCTGATTTTGGATGGGGAAAGCCAACCTGGGTGTGTACTATTGGTGTGCCTATTAAAAATGTGGTAATTTTGATGGCTACAAAAAATGGGGATGGAATTGAGGCATGGGTAACCTTGACTGAACATGATATGGTTGAATTTGAGCGCAATCCAGAACTTCTCGAGTTTGCATCATTTGATTTTTAGATTTATTTGTTAGAGAACATTCACTTTTGCATAGCACAGCTTCTACTTGTTATGACACTTTATTGATTGCTTATGAATTATTAGAGTGCTTAATGTTTTGATGCCTTTATTTCTTGTTGCTGAAAATGTTAGAATCGGAATATGGCTTCGTATGTTTTCTCCCCATTTACATTTTCGCTGCTCATGTATGGTTTAATGGAGTTGAGGCTTCCTATACTTTTCAAAGTTTTTTTTTTTAGAGTAAACACTCTTTTTGGTTCCTAACAAAAATTATTGTCCCCACTTTAGTCTCTTACAAAAATAAATTAATCAATTAGTCCCTAACAAATTCAAAGTGGACCCATTTTAATCTTTTTGATGGACTAATATGGGTCTTTTTTGAATTTGTGAGGGACCACGATTTCAACTAAATGGGTCCACTTTGAATTTGTTAGGAACTAACTGACTAATTTATTTTTGTAAGGGACTAAAGTGAGAACCGTATTTTTTGTTAAGAATCAAAAAGGTATTTACTCTTTTTTTTATTAAGAGAAATGACGGTTGGTTCAAGTGATATATGCTTGATTCCGTTTAAGCAAGATTTTGAGTTCAAATATTTATGAATATAAAAAATCTTTTTTGGGAGAACTAGCCTCACCATCATATGAATGTTCCCGATTCGAACAAGATTACTTCCAGTGAAAGATACTAGTTTATCCAAAAAAAAAATATTTACTTTTCATTTAGGACCTATAATTTAAAAATTATAAATAGGTCATCGCAGTTTCAATTTTTTTTTTTTAACGAGATCTTTCAATCTAGCCTACAGTTACAACTTTGTAGGACTAATATTTTTTATAATTTTTTCCCTACCCATAAGAAACTTGAATATTAGAAACACAGAAATTTTTCAACATAGCTAACGCAATATTTAAAGATTCATGGTCTCACACCAAAGTACAATCAAAGTTGCGTACATTTTTCCCCCCTGCGAAAAGCAAAGGAGACAAAACGATATCTCACCATCTATGTGTGTCAGCAGAATTTACATACAATCTTGTGCTTAGTTGAAATATTCAACATCGCTTACCAAAAAAAAAGAAAAAGAAATATTCAACATGTAATTATTGCTACCATTTACTTTCCAACGAGAAGATATCGTATTTAATCATTTGCTTTTTGAAGGCATCCGTTTAGTGGAAGTATAACTAATTAAGTTACCAATTTGCATTGTTGTATAAGGGGAAAAAATTCAAACAAGTGGACAAATTACTCATGCTTAAGAAATTCAGTCTATGCTGAAAAATCATGCTGAGATGAGAAACCAAAAAGTTAATCTACCGACTAATAATAATATTAAAATTTTAAAAACCCAGTTGTGAAAAATAAGAAGCACAAGCACGGAACCAAACTTTCATATGCGCATCTACTTTTCATATATTCTTACTAACTGAATCAAGATATTAGTGTGTCTGTTATTTTTAGCCAAGTCAAGACATAAGTGAAGTAGCACTGATTGTGGGTGTTCGTGTGCGGATCACCAAAGAAAGAATTTTAGGATAATTGCACTTGCACAAGTGGATGCGTCCAAGTAATACAAGGAATATTAAGTTCTAAGATATCATTTCACGAAGTAAGGGTGTTAATGGACGAGCTTTGTTCTGAAAAAGTTAAATTTGTATTTAAATATGTTAATCTGACCTAACTTGTTATTTGTTATGAATATAATTATTGACCTGTGATTTAACTTATTTACAAAAAAATAAAAGTCTGGCTTAGTCTGTTACCATATTAAAGGGGGAAAAAAAGACAACAAAAATTTATCCAAAAAGAATATACAATTAACTGCACTAGTAATTTCATAAAGATTCATAAATTCAATGTATATCTAAACAGTATATTATAGAACAAAATTATTCTAAAAGTATGTTTAACCAATAAAATAGAGTGATATAGGTTGAAGAAAGAGAATTATTATGAATAGTATAACAATTATAAAATAAAAATAAAAGTTAGTATATTAGACGGTGTGAGAGACTTTAACGCCAGACTTTTGAATTGAAATTTAAGACTTTTTTATTGAACAAATTTTTATACACTTCCAACAACCAATTTTGTATATGTAAATCCAAATTTTCATAAGCTGGGCCAAAGCCTTTATAAAAGATTCCCGCCGTTCGTTTACTATCTTGAATTACCAACCTGTATAAAACTGAACAAAAATTAAAGAGTACAGAAACACGATTGAACTACCCTAAGATTTTCGTTCCTAACTCGCAGTAGAAGAGGAACAACAAGTCATGGGAACAAACTATTGTGTAAAATGGAACTGTGCAGTAGTCGGAAAGTGCACAAGTGAAACAAATCTTTTTAGTTTTTTCTTATATTCAAAGTTTCGGAACGCAGACAGAACACCAGTCATTAACAGAAAAATATGGAACGTCGATAAAACAGAATAGGAATGGATTCACTCAGTCCCGGACCAGGAAATTTTGTTTATGTATACATATTTAGTTGGAGAATCCCCCGACAAAATTTGTTTGTAAAGAAAGTTTAAATCAACTTTTACACGAAGACCTCTTAAGTATAATGGAATACATATTTTGACAATGACAAAGGATTTACAAAAAGTCTCAAATTGAAGTTGGAGTTTGAAGATACAGGTGATTAGATATTCTTAGATATTTTGTTACACACAATATTATATCATATAGTATCTTCCTAAGCTGCAATACATATCATTGCATTTAATGCATTTAATTTCATAATAAATAATCATGATTTTGATTTTGATAAACAGATTTTTAAAAATAAAATCTAAATCAATTAAAAATCTGTTTTAATAAAAAAAAAAAAAAGTATATGAATATATATTTTGACGTTCTTTTCAAAATTGGTTTTATGTTGTTTGATATATACATATATATAAAGAAACGAAAACAATCTAATCTACGGCGTTCTTTTTGTTATGTTAATTGGTTTTATACATATATACAAACTTTTGCTTTTAAAATATAAAATAACTATTAAATTGTAAGGAAATATGCATATAGCCTTAATATGTTACTAGGGTTTTAACTTTTGGAAAAAAAAAATAATAATAAAATAATAAAAAGTAAACTTTCACATTTCAAAAAGAAAAGTTACGAGAGTCAGTTCCTAAAAGTTATATAATAATATAAAAGAGTTACTTTACCATTCTTCTTCAACATACTTGTTGAATTCAGTTTTTTACAAAAAAAAGAAAAAGCTCTCTTTTCAAGAAAAATAAAATCTGTCTTCTTTCGTCTTCTTCCACCCGCAAAAGAAACGCTGGTTGTGTATATTTTTAAACACTGATGTGGTTCTTAAGTTTTTAGTCACAAAAGCTAAAACACTGGTCTCAAGCTTTTCTTCATTCTGAAACGCCATTACTGGTCCTTTTTCTTGGATGCGCATAGTCCTATTTCTTGGATGCGCTTTGATCTGATCCTTTTTTTTTGGATGCTGCATTGGTGAGTTTACACAACACATGTAATCTGAGTTAACACAAAAGAGATACAAAAATTTGGGGTTTTTTACCGTATACTCAAGAAACTCAAATCTTTTATGAATATTTGATTTGAAGCATTTAATTTGAAATTTCTAGATCTATTATTCATATGCTTTAAAAATTTTGAGTGGTATAATCTGAATATTAAATCTCTTGAGTTGTTCATTGATTTAGGGATTTATTATTAAAATTCTGAATCTGATTTTTGTATTTTCATTGTGATATTTTTTGTTAAATCAGATTTATTGGTACTTATTGATTAAAAAATTAATTGTGTAATATCCAAACTCATTGGTGCATTAATTTTAGAGATTTTGATACATATGTCATTGGTTTAATTTTCTCCATGTGGCATAAATTTGTGGAGCTTAGTTTGATATCACCGTGATATATTTGGTGTGATAGGACACTGTATTTTTGGATTATTTCACTGTTACAGTTTTGAAAAATTCTGTATTAGTTGTTTGGGTGGAGTAGTTGTGTTGTAAATCTGTCCTAGGTGTATGGGTGCAACCGTGCGGGTTAGCAACCTTGTGCTTGGCATGAGAGTGTGTCTCAAGGCCTGGAGCCTCAAGAATCCACTAGGGAGAGTGGAGGTCTTCTGTGAGAGGAGTTGGTGAACTCCGTAGGTTTGGCTTGAGAGTATTCTCAGAGCTTAGAGCAGTGTAGGCACTAGGAAGATTTTTGATATCTTGTTTGATTGTTTGTGTGACGCGTGTTTGTAAAACAGGTTCACTTGTGATAAATAAATTATCTGCAACTACTTCAGTCTGGACGTAGCACCCTACTTAGGCTTGTGAACCAGGATATATCGTGTGTCTATTGTCTCTTTGATTTAATTTCTGAATAATCTGTTTAAAGACTGAAAGTTACACTGATTCTAGTTTTAGAGTGTTGTAGCACCTTATTGGTTCTATTATAATTGTTGTAGCACTTAAACTGTTTTTTTTATATTTGGAAATTAATATTTTTCTGTGTTGTTTAAGAAAATTGCATTGCTGCATTTATACTCTATAAATTGCTAAGGTACGCATTCCTTTACTACATTGTTCTTGGCATTGTAAAAAATTATTTTGGGCATATAAGGACTGAAGAAAAATTGTGTAATTGTTTACTGAATTCAAAAAGTTTTTGAAAAAGTTTAGAACAACTATTCACCCCTCCCTCTAGGTGTTCTGTAAGCGTCCTGTGTAAGAAGTCACTTGCCCAACATTATATACAAAGTTATGAACCCGCTCAGAATCTAGTTGCTTCCATAATAAACTGCAGACAATAGTTTGACCAATCATTTACCTCTCCCCTCCCAAAAAAAAAAAAATCTTACTAATTCTCCAAAACAAATATGAGAATATACTCCTATACATCCATACATTATCGTTCTATTTATAATGGTGAATAAAAAGTCAACACTATATGTACAGAAGGCAAGCAAAATCTCAGTGAAGGCTCTCATCTCTAGAGATTAACTCATTTGAAAAAGTCAAACCTA